ATATATGTTGCATGTAGATAACATATTATGTAATCTGTATTCCATTGATTTTTTTAAATGTGCAAAAGGCAAATGTGATAAAATGTTAATATGGTGAGCGGAGAGTGTCCGTATTTCACCATAAACGTTTTATTTGTCCAGCAAAAACTCCACACCCAAAATGCATAAACATCTGGAATTGGTTGAATGCCTCCTCTAGGTTTCTAAATKAGTTTTGGGTTCCCTGTCCTGCATGTTCTCCCACTCAGACACAACACAGGAATCCCAATATCTTCAATGGGCCAGGAGGGAGAGGACAAGGGAGGGCATAGGCCAGTCCTGGACATGTGTGAAAAATTAAATAATGTCTGACAAGTGCATTAAAGCACCAAACTCAGATTCAAAGCAAATCATGCCTCTTAAAGGGCCACTTGGACGAAAATTGCAAAACATTAGAAAAGACTTGGAAATCAAATATAACTATCCATATGGTTCTAATAACCACGAAGCAACAGATTTTAAGAAGATATTGATACAAATCCTTAATAATTTGGGCAAAAAATGTTGGATTAGATGACGTCATTTACTCCATCCTTTTGTTCTTCCATCTTTTGAATCAAATTTCTCTGATGTGGGACAATTCCAAAACAAAGATTATCCCGAAATTGCCTTTAATAGATATATGTGAGTCATATATATGTATTGCTTGAAGTTTTGAAATAAGGCCATTTTCATGCAAGTAGCACTTTAATTTCATTGCTTTGTTTGCTTACCCCTACACTACATGTGTATTGAGCACTATGTAATGGCATTTTAGCTCCTTTCTCATATCACTAACGAGTAGATAATGATATCAAGAAGATGACAGGTTTTAATWTTTCATAAGAATTCCTTTTGTTTTGTGTTTGTAATTGTTTTTTTATCTGAGATCTTAGCAAGCAGCATCTGATTAAATTCTTTCTGCTGCTCTGTCTTAGCATCCACCAAACTATGATCTATTATTCTTAGAGCGGATTTCGTATGAGTGGGACACCGTTACCGCACGGTTACCGCACAGTTACCGMACCTGGCCTGCACAATTTTGGTGAAACAATGGGGCACTAGAATTTGGTTACAGTACGATTACGGTCACAGTACAGTACCGTCCGTTTCCCACTCATACGAAATCCGCTCTATAAATGACAGGATTGTGATTGGCTGCTTAACTATGGTTTATTCATAATGGAACAAGGTCACCTTGAATGAAGTGAAAAAAGTAAAAATGTTCTTTTTTGTATTTCCCATAAACTCATAGTGCAATCAACTCTGCAGTCTAATTGATAATTATCCCTAACCCAAGTACATGTACGTAAATACAAATATGTATTTCTAACCTGTGCAGATCATTAAAGCCAGGTATATAGGCATTCATCATGTCAATGAAGTCATCAATGTTAGTACTGTCATCWTCAGTAAGGGATTGTAAAACACTGGTCAGGTAGTCAAGAACAATGTCGTCTACAACACTGAAAAACAAAGTACTTAGACATATCATCTTAGATACAGTGCGAATTTATTGACTATAATAAAAGGTACTCATATACAATGAACAATTTGGGAGCTTTCCATTTGTCAGAACTGGCTGGCCAGACCCAGAGAAAATGTCAATTACAGATCATTCTTATTTAGTTAGGAAATTCAAATTTTCAAATTCTATCCATTATTCTATAGAGAACCTCGAAATGACTGCAAAATGTTGACAAAAAGCATTATATACCTCTTAATAGAGCAGACTGSTCAGCTAGTTCTGCCTAAATGGAATGCATCCTTATATTTCATTTMTCTCAGAGTCTGCACTAGTTAGACACACAGAAAACATGAAAATTAATCGAAAAGAACAGTAGTCACGCCACTTGACTAGGTATCTCATGTCACAATTTGTTGGTATCACAGTCTSTGTATTTAGTCTGCAGTGCAATTGGAATTTATTTGACAATTCATGTACAATCTAAAATCCAAGAATGCTGTTCATGTTATAAATACTTACTCTARAGCTTGTTCAGGTATTCTTGATGTCAAGAAAGACTCAAATTCACTCTTGATAATATAATTCATTCTGATCATGAAGTGCCTATTAAAGGTTGCTAGCCAAAAGCATAAAGAAAAACAACACTGTTTAGCTTGCATTAGGCCTTAACCTTATCTATGTAATGTGATCACTTAAATTATTTCTGGTCGGTTTGGGTGCGTTAAATCTACGATCAAAGCTTTGATAAATACTGAAGTCTATAAGTTAAGAGCTGCACTAATACAAATAGCCTCGAATATGCTAAATCAATCTCCTTCTAAAATCCAGCTGTCGTAAACACGTGATTATAACCTYATAAGCTCATAAAATTAAAGTTGGCAGACAGGTAAGATTTGAACTCTCTCGATCTAAAATACAGTATTTGAAATTATTGGTATAATATATTAGAGGTAAAGTTTTAGAGGAAACGTTACAGACATGGCGCTTAAAAACGACTCATTTTAGTCTTCATCACGAAAACCATGGTCGTTTTTCCCGGGTCGTTTTAGGTACAAAACATTCACTTAATCATTGTTGAACTTAACGTAATAAAACCAAGCAAAAACTTACCAAAATCGATAAACTTCCAAGTAAATGCGTAAAAAAAGTTTAAATGATGACAAAAAATTGAGTTTCTTTTCGTGAAAATGAGAAATATTGTTGTTTTCTTGGGCTTCTTCTGCTTATTGTGTTTACTATACCAGCTCACGCATTCAAACAAATGGCGCCCAAACTATGCAGYCAGGCCTCCACAGGAAGCCCAAAACTTGATAAAACTGCTGGTAACAAGACGTCATAATAAAGATATACTTAAAGTGCACCTAACCCCTGAAAAATTATTATTTTTTCTCTAAAATTAGGGAGKTTTCTTAGAACTTTGGCTCAATAATGACACGATTTTATTGAAATGTAAAGGTACTTCGAGCTCCCTGTGGTGGACAAGCAATTCTACAGTATTCTACAGTATTCTTCACACTAGATTACCGCTAGTTCCCACAATTCTACAGTATCACGTGACTTGTGACGTCAATCCAGTATCAGATACTGCGAAATCATTATGTAAACACTGTCGGTAGTAAAGTCTTTATAGATTTTTATTTGGGCTTCTTTTGGAAGACCACGTCTTAAAAATGCTAGCGTCTTTTCTTCGTGAATATTATTTTTCAAATTGGTAGGCGCCTGCGCTGCAGATGGTCTGCAGTTTCAATTTCCATGGGGAAGTCAAACTAAACCAATCCGCGTTTACTTCAGTCGGCCTCGTGGCCTGATCGCTATATCTGCAATTTGTAGCCTCACTATAAAGCTACTGTGACCTTGTTAGTCGGACTAGCCGAAGGCTAGGTCGACTTAAGTTTTACCTTTCAGCCAATCAATCAATCTATCTATCTATCTATGTGTCATGTCGCGTTTGGACCACCGGAAGTTAAGAATTTAATAATTAACTATTGGGTTGGCTGTGTTATTACCTTACCGGAAGCTCAATCGATCTCAATCCTATAGATGTACGAATATCGTTAGTAAATGTCATATGCTACTTGGCTTATGACAAAAAAAGTATTCGTTTACAAATGTGGTATCTGTGATCTCATCGGAATGCATCAGTCTAGGCATCATAAGTACGCGCATGTGCAGATCGCTTGGTGCTTCGAGTAATATGCTTACGAGACTAAATCAATGGCCTTTCTAGCGTTAGACAGTCTTGTGTGGGCAAAGATTTCAAATTAGAACAAGAAGAAACATTTTTTTTCAATAACAAAAAGTCGAGTTTAATGATTTTATAGTATCATTTACTTTGTAAAGTATTTTCTCGGCCTGAGAGGTCAACGTTATCACTTAGCTTCACTTGTCCACATACCATGTTTGATTTTATCAGTCAAAGGAAGGACTCATTTAAAACGTTCATTGATGTATTAATTACATGACATTTCAGGTCAAGTTTATTTTAGTCTCAAGAGAGTTTGGATATTTTGAACTAGACGCTCTTATTAGACCGAGAGTTCGGCTTTTTGGAGAAAAATTAAAGAAATATATATTTTAATCTAATTTTTATATTTTATGTAATATACTCCTGTCTTTCTCAAGGTCCATTTACATTCATAATATAATCATATGATTAGACAGAATATAACATCATAACCTTTTCACTCGTGTCTATCAATTTTCAAAAATAGCTAGTCCGACTTCACGCCCCAGGGGCGTCTAGTTTGTAATCAACAAAAGCAAGCTGATCAAGAAAATGAAGGAAATCAACCCTAGAAGGCTGATCTCACTTACAAACGCACACATCGTTCGTGGTAGGCCCACACTAGAAGATGTTCAGCGTAATGTTTGGAACTTGGCGGTCCACTAACCATAGTTAATATTAACTATGCACGAACTCAAATTTCTTACTGACCTTACTAGTTCTTACGAGATATCACACGATTCAAACGATCAAAATATTACTCTCTAAGTTACAATACTGACAAAACTGCAAAGACTGTACCGTTTCTACTGTTTATATGACCTTTCAGGTCAAATTTATTTAAATCTGCACATTTTGAATAATAGACGCTCTTAGAGCGTAAAGTCGTGCTAGCTATTTTGGAAAACTGAAAGACAGGATATTTAAAGAAGTTATTTAAAATTCAGATCGGTAAAAAAATATGATGTAGTAAATAACTTATATTAACTTAATTCTGTTTTGACCTATTTCAAATAAAGACTGTATCGTGAAAATGAAATACTCAATGGCGGCAGCTGACCCATTGTCGCAGCTACTGGAAGCCCACGTAAGCGATCCATGATCGTCTAGTTGAGCTAAAAATGCCGAATCGGTGTGTTGTTTACGGTTGTAACAACACACCAAATAACAGAGAAGGTATTGTCTTATTGTCTGGGTTGACGTCACACTCGTTTCCATACCTCTTTCGAGGCTGTCCATCCGAAATCCAACGTAAAACATTTGCCAAAAATCAGGAATTAAATGAAATCGAAATATTTTTTCGCCAAAGTACTTAGAAATAAACGTTTTGTAGAGCTTTTGTATAGATCATCAACAACACAAGATTTACACCGAGACTTTCCCTTATTGTATTTTCATTATAATTGTGTATTATAGCGCCAAAACTATGTCAGGGGATGTAACATATTTTGTCGAAATGTATCGCCATGGTCGCAGCTTCTTAACAGTGTTTTTAAACTAACACAAGAATGCAAAATAAATAGAAAGCAATATCAGTCGTAAGGCAAAAAATAAACGCATTACATTGAATCATTATTGTACTATTTCATGCCTTTGATTTAACAATGATTAAAAAGAACTTTAAGTAATCACGGCAAGTACGCACTATCACTCAGAGACGGACAAGTTTACGCTAAAACGTGCGTGCGTATTTTTTATACTGCTGTTAATGTTCCGAGGCCGGTTGTACGAAGGATGAAAATCGCTATCCACCGGGATAAATCATTATCCAGAGTATAAAATCCATGCCAAATCTATAGAGTAGTTCTAGAACTCATTAATTATTCATGAGCTATTAGTCCAACGAGCATCGAACTATTGGGTCACATGATGGGCCTTTATATCCGATAAAGTACTGATGTTTTATTAATCAGTTCTATATCAGATATAAAGAACTGATGTTTTATTAATCAGTTCTATATCAGATATAAAGAACTGATCAAGTTCACCAGCGCTTTATCGCAACCCAACACTAGGAAAGGTCTCAGTTTTAATGTCGCAGCATAGACCTTTGCTAGGTTTTAAATCAGTTTGAATCAATATGCCGACATGCACTATAGCTAGACTAGCCGTTCTTTCGTGTGAGATCAAAATTCTTTGAATTGTGGCACAATGCGCATGCTCATTAGAAGTTTAATATGCATAATCACTGTTTTCGCATTTTTTAGCTTTTTTCTAAAATGATAACAATTTCTGAATGTTGGAGTTCTAGAACTCGAGTGCGTGTTTTATCGGGTATATAGATTCTCGCCTGCGGCTCGAATCTATATATCCCGATAAAACACGCACTCTCGTTCTATAAACATCRCATAGCTAACCGGTGGATAACTTTATCCGCCCTTCGTGCAGCTGCCCCTCGGATTTTTGACAAAGAGCCTGCATGTTTACATGAGATAGGGTGCCCCTAGTGTTAGGGCCAAAATCCTTTGTTTTAAATCCCCCAGGGAAAAGAAAACAAAAGAGTTAGCCCTACCTATCACGTAGGGGCACCCTATCTCACGAAACAGGGTCTAACACTTACCGCTCAAGAACAGGCTCCGGGAAACAATATAYAACAAGCTTTTGTACATGTTTCGTCGAAGACTCAGCCTGTTCTAGCTTTTGTGCGTGAGCATTCAGCAAGAAATCCTCGAAAGTCGTCTATTTTATCCAGAAACAACAACAGTGCACATTTTATTGTTTTGAAGTCATGTAAAATGCTAAATTTTCCAAGCTTTGTTAAGGTCGTACAACGTGCTTGCCAAAATTACCACCCTACGTGACACCGCTGAGAATAATAACGGTACAACTATATTGTATTTGYCAAGGAACATAAATTTCGACACATATTTTGATACCCTTTTAAATGTTTTTATTACTTAAATTATACAAAAATTATTAAACCTAACGTCATGATTACAGCTGTAATTAGTATAACCTACATGTAGAGTTGGGTTATTTATGTCTCTTAGTCCCCCGTTAAAATATCAATCTAATAATTCGTATAAACAGTTGACCTTTGGCCTATATCGGACTTTAAGGTGGATCACAACTAATAATCAAACGCAAATTTTATACTTTTTAGCTCGCTCGCTTCGCAAAATTATTTAGTCAAAACGTCCTGAAATTTTGATATAGCATTCAGTGATTATTGCACTTTTAATCCGTTGTCAGTATTTAGTAATTCATTTGCTATTTATTTATTTATTTATTTATTTGAGAAACCGATTTCTGCGTAGAAGTCACTTAAATGGGAAGTGACATATTCTCGTAGTTTTCTTATAATTAACTATCAGCTACAACAAATCCCAAAATAGATACAAAATGTTCTCACAGCCACAATCTCATTATGACGTCATAGCAGCATCGGTAAGAGATGCTCAAAAAGAGTGGATATTTGGTCAAATTTATATTTTCTCCAAATGGAGAATTTTAATGTATCGAGTGGATATGCAATAACAATCTTCCCTCCCCCCCCCCCCCCCCCCAACGACGATCAGAATCATTAGTGTTAAAACAATAGAATGTTTCATGTGACGCCATAATGAAATAGGACAATTAGCTTATCAGAGGATCTCAATGGGTCGCACCACGACTAAATTTGGCTTTTTCACGCCTCACCGCTAATTTTTTTTCTCATTTTCACGACTCACGGCTAATTTTTTAGCCCTTTCACAGCTCACGGTTAACATTGAGACCCTCTTATTATTAGCAAAGTGTTCACTGGCAATTCATTTTGCTCATTCTTGCAGGATCCTCTCCTTCAAAAACTTTAAGTCATCTTTCATGTCCCTGAGGTCAGATGATAACTCATCCACTCTCATTTGAAGACTTCCAAGACCTGATAGTTTGTCATGTAAATCATTTATACCACGTATTAGAGCTGTATAATCTTCCTGTGCTGAGCCGTCTCTCTTACAAGAACGACTGTCTTCCTGGACTTCCTGAGGTAGGAGCTTAAAGTCAGAGAAAAAAATAATAATTTGCAAATGAAACTTGCACAATACACTATACAAAACTTTGGAATAGTTCGAGATAAATTAGTGAAGAGAAATAAAGTCAACCTCCAAGCGATTACGCAACAGAAGTGTCCATCTCGGTAATAATCTCATCACCATCAGATGTCCCGATAATCTATTTTTAGACAACCAATCACAACGCACGCACACATAACACGGCACCTGATTGGTCCTTGTTGATACTTTTTCAAGAGCGGAAAAGAAATGAAAATTAAGCTTGCATTACAAGATTACAAGTATACAAGATTCATTTTGTTCAGGCCTCCATCGACAACACTTTCTTTTTTCTTGTTTGCTCTCGAAGTAGA